GAAAGAAATTTGATGAGAGAGCAGTTGCATGTGTGTTTTTGGGATATATCTCAAGGGTTAAGGGATACAGGTTATATGATTTGAAGTCAAAGGAGGTTTTTGTTTCCAGGGATGTTGCTTTCTATGAGAACAAATTTCCCTTCTCAGGAGAAGCAAAGGATAATGAATCAGTTGGCATAAAAATACCTTTGCCTGCAGTGATAGATACACAAGAAACAGTTTCCAAGGAGGATTAACCTCCATTTTGTTGATAACTCAAATCCACAGAGTTTGGAAACAGTTACTAATCCAATGATGAATGAGAACAAGAGGATTAGAAAGAAGCCTGGGTGGATGACAGACTATGTGATGGATTTCACATCAGATGATGAAAATGAGGAGACAACTTTGTTTTTCACTGAAGTTGACAAGTCTGCTTCAGAACCTATCAACTATGAGCAGGCAGTTCAAGATCAAAGGTGGATTGAAGCCATGAATAAGGAATTAGAAGCACTTGAGATCAATCACACTGGGGAACTTACAACCTTACCAGTTGGGAAAAAAGCTATTGGTTCAAGATGAGTGTACAAGATCAAGAGGAATCCTGATGGCAGTATTGATAAATTTAAGGCAGGTTGGTGGCAAAAGGTTACTTACAAAAAGAGGGCATAGATTTCTTTGATAGTTTATCTCCTGATGCGAAGTTGGTTTCAGTGAGAATGCTCATAGCCTTAGCAACACAGCAAAAATGGCAATTACACTATATTGACATCAACAATGCTTTCCTTCATGGTTTTTTTGGAAGAAGAGGTGTATATGATGCCACCAAAGGGCTATGATAAGGCCAAAAAGGGAGAAGTTTGCTTACTAAAGAGGAGTTTGTATGGCTTGAAGCAAGCTTCAAGGCAGTGGAACATTGAGTTCTTAGATAAGCTACTCAGTTATGGTTTTGTTCAATCCTCACATGATCACTGCATGTTTGTTAAAAATTTAGGTTCTCATACCATTGCCTTACTGATTTATGTTGATGATGTTCTTATAACTGGAAACTCTCTTGTTGAAATTCAGCACATCAAAAGTTATCTTCATAATCTTTTTACTATCAAAGATTTGGGACAAGCAAAGTACTTTTTGGGCCTGGAAATTTCTAGCACAGAGAAGGGCACTTTCCTCACTCAAAGAAAATATATTCTGGACATAGTCCATGATCTGGGTTTGGATGATTGCAAAGCTGTTGTGACTCTATTGCCTCCTGGGATTAACTTGTCTTCACAGGACTCACCCATTTTTCCAGACTCCTCACTCTATAGAAGGCTCATTGGGAGATTGCTATATTTGAATCTGTCAAGGGCAGATATATCTTATGGAGTCCAGCAGCTTAGTCAGTTTGTTCAGTCACCTACGCAGGCACATTGGGCTGCTGCTTTACACTTGATGAAATATTTGAAGGGCACTTCCAGTTTGGGACTTTTTTATGCAGTTATCCTTCTACACATTTGGAAGCTTTTTGTGATTCAGATTGGGGAGTTGTGCTTTGACTAGGAAATCCCTTACTGGTTACTGCATCTTTCTTGGACAATCATTGGTTTCTTGGAAAACTAAGAAGTAACAGACCGTATCTCGTTCCTCGGCTGAGCAGAGTATAGGTCTATGGCTATTACTGCTTGTGAGCTTCAATGGATTTCATTTTTAGGGAAGGATCTCTCATTATCTTTGCAGTCGCCTATATCCTTGTGGTGTGACAACAAGGCAGCTCTTCATATAGCTGCCAATCCGGTGTTTAATGAGCGGACAAAGCACCTTGATATAGACTGCCACGTGGTGCGCAATATCTACAAAGCTGGTTTTCTTTCCCCTCGTCACCTTTTATCTTCTCTTCAGCTGGCTGATATGTTTACCAAATCTCTTGGTCGTGCGGATTTTCATCGCTTAGTTTGCAAGTTAGGAATGTGCCTTAATCCCCACATTCCTNTGTTGATATATGCATGCAATTGGAGCTTTTGGATGAGGTCTTTCATGCAAACGTTTTTATTTCTGGGTTTTATTTTCTTTTCTTTTGTTTTAAGAAAGCGTATCCCGCTTTTCTTATTTCTGTTATGTTGCATTTTATTTTTCTTTTGGTTTATTTTCCTGCACGTGTCACTTTGTGATTGGGCGTGTTTTAGCTGAGGGAAAATATGTACCCGTTGTCGTCTTCTTCATTTTGTAGATCTGAACTTGAAAGCTGTAAGCTTAAGAAAAATGGTGTTGCAGAAATTCTTTGTGTTCTCTTATTCTAGATATTGTTCATTTATTTGATTTCTACACCAACATAAAAAAAATACATATACCAACCACTTATGTTATTGTTTGGTTATGTTAGGTTATATTTGGTAATTTTCACTCTAAAATAAAATAATGTGACAATAATCATTGTAACTGATACATGATCATGGTACCTCTGTTTGAGTATTTAGTACCTCTTTCATCATTATTATAATTTGATACCAGAACTTCAAAATTTTATTTTATTCAACTTATTTGGAATATTATATTATTGTTAGAGAAAATAGAAGAGGCACAAACTGATATATTAGGGAGTTGTGCATACAATAATGAATTGTTTGTCTTCTCTATACACGTCGGATTTTGTCTTCAAGAAATGTACACCCTCATTGGTAAGAGGTGGCCAAATGTAAAGTCATAAACCTTCATGTTATGCTATATTATGCCCAACGAAAAACATGATTCGGTTGTGTTAGGGTATACTGTAAAAGTTTGGCTTTCAGTTTCTGACAATACTATTTTGAATAAAGATCATATTTCAGTGAAGTGCATGTTTACAGTTTATTTATGCAAACAAAGATCCTTTATTTTACATTGTAGATAATATGGTTCGATGTATCAAACAGAAAGATCATATTATCGGTGCCTTGTAAAATATAAATTACTTGTTCACTGCCTAGACGAAATTGAACTAACTGCTGTGAAAAGCTATAGTGTGATTTTGAATCAATTGGTCTTTAACTGATGAATTACACTAGTACATCTGGGATGCATTGGACGGACATGCGGAGGATAAAATTATTTTATACTAACCAAGTAATTAATCTAGACCCCAGTAGTTGTTGCGTTTTCTTAACCCGTAAGATAATATAAACAGGCATATGTATTCAGAACCTGCTTATTTTATTTACCAAGGGTGAGGCTTATTTAGGTAGGCCAACAGAATTGGTATTTTGGTAAGTAAGGGCCGAGTACATGATGTGTTACAGAAATTATTTACGATCACTTTATCCTGGTCTGTCGGGTTGATGACGACCTCGAAATGAGCTCAGGAAGGTTTATACTAACACCATACTAAAATAAATACAAAAACATGAATTATTTTCATTTAAATATTTCAATCTATAGATTTATGTATAAACAGAGTAAGATACTAATAATAGTATTAACATAAATACGGGAACATTTAATGCATTCTTTCTTTCAAAACCTTTTAAATGTTTACCTTAATTGTTTGTATATACACGTTTTCAAATCGGATATGATCAAAAATATTCATTTCTTGAACGCATTTTTAACATCTGCAATAATTTCATTGATATATATCACAATAAACTGCAAATTAATTTTTCGTGATTGATATTGATTAGTTAAAACATGAAAACATATTTTAAGTTCTAACCATATTAGTATCTTTTTCAAAAAATATTGAATTATATCATACTATAATTTTAACAAGCCGTGATAAGTTAGTTAAATTTTTTTCATTCCAGTTAATTAGGCGAATTCATGTTCTTGAATTAATCTTTTCCATTAAAATTTTTCTTATCCTTTGTTTAATTATATATCAAAAATAATTCTTCAAATTAATATAATTTACTAGTTAAGAGATAAAGACAAGATACATTAAATAGTTTAATAATGACAAGATAATAAAATTAAATTATATTAACTCTTTTTTAGAATTTTAACATGAGATTAATTTGTATATTATCGTCAACTATTATTAAATTTTTTTATTATTTTTTATTTCTTTTTATAATAAAATTATCCTAAAATATATTTCAGTACATAGTATTCTAAATAAGCTATAAAGCCTTAGGATGCATAATTATCATGAAAAAAATTTAATTCTAATGCATAATGGCCAAAAGACTTTAGGATGGCTATTGGATTAATTGGTTAATTAACTTAAATAAACTTAAAATGCGGTACTTTTCTCAATGTGACCGAACTTTTTCTTTTTTAAAGGAATAGTAGTTTTGATGACATGTTTATATGTGTGTGTGATTATTTTTATTTTTAAAATTATTATGTAATACGATAAATAGCAAAAATTATATAAATTCGCATGTGAGTATATTTGGTGAAACATTTATAGAAAATATTTTATTTCAAATTTATTTATATAGTTTCAAATTAATTACATTGATAAATAACCTTAACATACATTAAATATTTTTCATTATATAAAATATAAGACGAAAACTACTTCTAAAACTTTTATTAAAAATAATAAAGAAATTAAAGTTTAGAGTAAAATAATAATTGAGTTTTATATGGTAAACAAAAATAAGGAAAACTATATCAAAAAATAAATGTATAGATAATAAAATCACATTTATTTCAGTATAAACGTGGTAGCGGGATTTTATACTTATAAACTTATAGGCTAGCCATAATAGGCTCAGACTTCACAATCTAACTAAATAAACAAAAGAAAATAAAAAATATTGATTAAAAGGGGTGAAAAATGAATGGTCCAATCTTATTATTTATTGGACCTAAATGGACAGACCTTATGGGCGTGACTTATTTAACATCTATATGTAAGTGACTTATTTAATATCTATGTCATAGTGGTAATAAAACTATAATTCATAATCTATCAGTAACTATGTTTAAGAGTAAAAATAGGTAAAACTTCCATTTCTCGTCAACTCGAAATAAACTGCAATTTATGGAAATTACTTACTACCCTAATCATCAATTAATTAACAAGGGGCATCCTTTTAGTTCCTTAGAAATGAACTCTCTCAGCGAAAAACCCCCCAACGCTCGCAAACCCACCACGGACACCGTCGACCCAGGGGTAGATCCACCACCAGTCTTCCCGATTTCAGAGTTTCCAGCCCTAGCACCGGATCTAATCCCAGCCTCGAAAAGATCGAGAGTCCGCAATTGCCATGGAGAACTGCTGGAGAATCAATCCCGCCCAACCACGAACCAACCAGTGGCTCCACCCGTAGTTCAAGGCCCCGATCTGTTGGAGAATCAACCCCGTCCGACCACGAACCAACCAGTGGCTCCACCCGTAGTTCAAGGCCCGCAACCCCAGCGATGGTCATTTCGTGATATGGTAAAAAAGCATTCGAATCACGTGGATATGGCCTCTGACGATGAAGGAGGAGACAATGTTGAAGAAGAGGTATATGTGGATCTCTCTAACAAAGCGGTTTATTGAACGTATCAGCAAGGAATGGCAGCACGTGGTCGTTATTAAGCCTTTTGATGTGTCGATCTCAATGCCTTCCCTGTACAACCGATTAACCAAGATGTGGCCGTTCATGTCGGGTTGCAACATGATGGACCTAGAGAACGGATTTTTTCTTATTCACCTCCATAACCAGGAGGATGCAACGAAGGTCCTCACGGAAGGACCGTACGTAGTAGGTAGTGGGTACTTGCATGTCCAACCTTGGAATCTTAGGTTTGATGCGACTAAGGCAGAAGTGACATCAACTGTGGCGTGGATCCGCCTTCCTGGTATGCCGGCACATTTCTATCACAAGAAGATCTTCCGTACGGTTAGTCGGATTGTTGGGAGAGTTGTCAAAATTGATCATCAAACAGCTGAGTTAACTAGAGGGAAGTATGCCCGGCTTGCGGTATTGGTTGACACCACGAAACCACTCTGTGCGAACTTTAAGATTAACGGAAGAATACAAAAAGTGGTATACGAGAATTTGCCCAATATTTTCTTTCATTGCGGAAGAATATGGCATTCCATTGGGTCGTGCCCACATAGAGAATCTCAACAGGACCAGGAAGGGAATAAAACTAATGAAACTGTTACTTGCAACAGAGGCGCCCAAGGTGGCACAGGCGAGACCGGGGACACAACGGAAACCGAGAATGGAGAGGCTGAACCGATGTATGGTCCATGGATCCAAGTCCCGCAATGGACGCGCGTGCCATACACACGGCGCGATAAGGGGGTGAACGGTATGCAGCCCGCAAAAAATCCGCGCACCGACCCTCGGCCAGGATCACGATTTGGTGTTTTGGAAATAGAGAATCCTAGAGAATCAAATCAGATCTTTTAATTTGGGGCGCAGTCAACAATGACTAACAAGAATGAGAGTACCTTACCTAAAAAGCCATCCGATGGTGAGAAGGAATGGCATCCGATTACCGGGAAGAATAAAAAAAAAAGGCAAGAAACAATTTTAGAAATACCAAGGAAGGAGAAACCAGTGGGCTAGCAAAGGATATTGGGCTTCAGAACAAGTTTGATAAAATTATGGAGGAGGTCCACACACCATATTCTAGGCCAGGGAATCTGATATTAACAACTAACAACAGGACTGGGACACCTGCTCAAGCTCAAGCTGATACCTCATGTCAATCCGGGCCAATCCAAGTCGGAGCTGGGCTAGATCCGACCAATCATCGCGCTATTGTAGTTGAAAATGACCAAGTCCCTACAGCCCCTAACTGAAACTTGCGATCTAACCCAATACTCGCCACCGACGATACCGTGATGATGGAAGGCGAACACTCTGTTCGACTCCAGGAGCCATGGCTAGAGGAACCTGATGCGAGATATGGCTCGGAAGATAGCTCGGGAACTGCGAGCCACACAATGGACCTGGAGGATGAGTCGGACAGGCATGTCCACCGACCTGATTAATGGCGTTTGCCAAAATCATCGATGTGTTGTATCTTAATTAATTTCATAACGTGGAACGTCCAGGGAGCAGGTTCGAACGGATTTCGGGGTGCTTTCTCTACAATAATACATCTCTATAAACCGGATGTAGTTGCTCTTTTTGAACCACGAATTAGTGGGGCGAATGCAGACAAGTTTGTGCGCTTCAGTAAATTTGAGAATTCGTTTCGCATCGAAGCTCGGGGATTCTCCGGCCAAATATGGGTCCTATGGAAAGAAGAAGTTAAGCTGAAAGTGATATACTACACAAAACAGCTAGTCCACACCCGAATATCCATGAATGGTGAAGAATCTCTGGTGAGATTCATTTATGCTAGTCCCAATGCATCTATCCGTAAGAGGTTGTGGACTAGCTTAGAGGGTCTGGCGACTGGTATATCCGAACCATGGCTAATCGGTGGTGATTTCAACTGCCTCCTTCACCGGTCTGATAAAGTGGGGGGATCTGTTAACTTCTGCAATAGGAGCCAGGAATTTTCGGAATGGATGTTTAATAATAGCATACAGGAGGTAGCCACAGATGGTCACTGTTTCACATGGGTCAGGAACGAGCGTGATGGACAGGTGGCAGAGAAGCAGGATAGATTTGAAGCAAATATGCTATGGCTGGAGAGGTTTGAGAAGGGTCGGGTCTGTCTCTTGCCGAGGACTCACTCAGACCACTCGCCTTTATTAGATGTGGTGACCGCTGTATGGAATCGCAAGGAGCGAAACCTTTTCGTTTCCTGGCGGCTTGGCTACTACATCCAGGCTTTGACGATATGCTTAAGGAAACGTGGAAAACATCCCTCGACTTCACTGAGGCTGCAATGAAGTTCGCGGATAAGGCAAAAGAGTGGAATCTCACAGTCTTTGGAAATATTTTTCAGCGTAAGAAGAGACTGATGGCACGGGTAGGGGGCATTCAGAGATGCCGAAAATTCTATGTTACGGAGCGGCTGGTGGTGTTAGAGCGCCAACTTCATGAGGAGTTAGAAGAGACGTTATACTGCAAGAGGAATTGTTGTTAGTGCATAAAGCGTCAAGAGATTGGTCAGTCTTGGGAGATAGGAATACATCCTACTACCACAGACAGATTAAACAACATAGAAGACGCCGAAAAATAAATGAGTTGGTGGATGCCGAGGGCAACCTGGTAATGGACCAAACGGAACTTCAAAACCTAGCCACTGATTTCTTTAAAAAAATATATACAGCTGGACCAACTCCATTTAAGCACTGGGAAGTGCCGAATTTCTCCCCGCAGATGTCTTAGATACACGGGATGCCATGGAGGGAGAGATCTCGGACGATGAGATTTTTGAGGCTTTGCAAAACATGGGATCTTTAAAAGCCCCTGGAATGGATGGATTAAATGCTCTAATTTATAAGAAAAATTGGGAAACTGTGGGCCCCTCGGTTCGGGCCTTCATCCGAAAGATGTGGGAAGACGGTGTAGTCCTCAGAGAGGTGAACCAAACCTTAATTGTTCTAATCCCTAAAGTCGAGAACGCTTCCTCAGTTAGGCACTTCCGACCTATTAGCCTTCTCAACGTCATCTGCAAAATTTTCACCAAAGTCCTGGTGAATCGCATGAAGGGCTCCTACCTGACTTAATCCACCCAGCACAAGCGAGCTTTGTCTCGGGTCGACAAATCACTGACAACATTGTGGTTGCCCAAGAATTGGTCCACTCGGTGAGGTGTAAGCGTGGGGCGAGAGGCTACATGGTTATTAAAGTCGACATCGAAAAGGCTTATGACTACCTTCGATGGGATTTTATAGAAGAGACCATGTGCCTAGCTGGCTATCCGACTAAGCTAATAACAGCGATTATGGCAAGCATAAGTTCGGCGTCGATGAACTTACTGTGGAATGGCATGACTGGCGAAGAGTTTCAACCCACTAGAGGAATCCGACAAGGAGACCCCATTTCCCCATATATATTTGTCCTTTGCATGGAGAGACTGGCTCAACTCATTGACAAGGCGGTCGACGATTCATTGTGGTGCCCAATATCGGTTGGTAGAGGGGCCGTCAAGGTGCCTTTTTTAATGTTCGCCGATGATCTCCTCCTATTCCTAGAGGCCGCTGATGATCAGGCCCAAATACTGAATCAAGTCCTCGAATATTTTTGTTATTACTCGTGGCTTAAAGTAAGCTCGGAGAAGACACTAACCTTCTTCTCTAATAACGTTGAGAGACCTGAACAACTCAGACTGGACGAGATGCTTAAGTTCAAGTGGACAGACAACTTGGGGAAGTATCTTGGAGTGCCAATTATTCATGGTCGAGTAACTAAAGAGGCCTTCAATCACATTGTAGACAAGACAGAGTCACGACTTAATGGGTGGCGCATGAAATCGTTGTCAATGGCTGGGGGGAGGGTAACCCTTACCCAATCAGCTATGACTACACTCTCTTATTACTCCATGCAATTTGCCCTACTACCATACTCAGTTACGGATGGACTCGAGAAAAGAAGTCGGGCATTCATATGGGGAGGAACCGAAGAGAAGAAAAGACTACACTTAGTCGCATGGAAGGACGCTTGCAAGCCCAAGGACGAAGGGGGTCTAGGCATCAAGGACCTCCGACGTATGAATACTGCACTATTAATGAAAACAGGGTGAGGTCTCTTAACAAAACGAGACTCCTTATGGGTACGAGTTTTAGCGGCAAAGTACGGCTTGGACCTAGTGCCTGCATTGGAGAGCCTAACGTGTCATCAGGGTTCATCGTTACTTGGTCCTTGAAAAAAATCTGGCCAGACGTGATGAGGGGATTGCGCTGGGTCATTGGGAATGGAGAAAAAGTCAGATTTTGGCTCGACCCATGGCTCGGGTTCGAAGGCCCGCTGATCAGGTATGTCCAACAGCCACTAGAAGTGAATATCCAAGCGACGGTGGCGGAGTACGTCGATGAAGGTGGATGGTGGAAGTGGGACTCGTTCCATGGACTACTACCTTCTTGTGTTATCTTAAGCATAGCAAGTATGCTTCCTCCGAAGAGTTCGGCTGGTGAGGATCGCATCTTGTGGGGTTTTTCCCAAGACGGTAAGTTCTCAACTACAACAGCATATCAGGCTCTCGGGGAGGAGGAGATTAATCTCGATAAACCTCTGTGGAAATTGATTTGGCGTGTTCCGGCACCACAAAGAATCCGTAACTTCCTATGGCTTGCGGCTAGAGGCCGGATTTTGACAAACCTGGAGAGAGTTAGACGTCACATTGCAAGCTCAGAATTATGCGATATGTGCGGTGAGTGTGAGTCGTTGATCCACGTTCTGCGTGACTGCCCGGCGACAAAGGAAGTGTGGCGGAGACTGATTCCGGAGGAACAAGTGCACGATTTTTTCCAACAGCCCTTTCCGGCATGGTTTAGGACGAATTTAAGCAAAACTAAACTGGGGTCGATCACTAATTGGAGCAGCATCTTCTCGTATGTTGCATGGCGAGCATGGACGTGGAGGAATGAAATGATCTTCAACCAACGCACCATTAGCCACGAGTCCCGACAAATTGAGGTATTGCGTATGACGGAGAACTATAATCGAGCGACCGCGGCATATGCGAAAGTGGGGGCCAGCGTGTACGTTACACGTATAATACATTGGGCTACACATGCTCCGGGATGGATAAAAGTGAATACAGACGGGGTATTTGACAAATCCACTGGCATGGGTAGTGCGGGAGGACTCCTTAGAAACGAAGTCGGTAAATGGATCGCGGGGTTCCTCATGAACATAGGATTTTGTACCATCACGGGTGCCGAATTGTGGGGATTATTTCAGGGACTGCAACTGGCTTGGGACTTAGGATACCGCCAGGTTATAGCAGAGGTGGATAGCCTGTATGAAGAATATGGTTCTGGTTACTGATGAAGAATTCAGGGTACATACGTCGATAGTACGGGCCATCCGTAGCATGATTCAGAATAACTGGAGTGTGAGCCTCCACCATGTTCATAGAGAAACTAACTTTGCAGCGAATTATATGGCGAGTTTGGCGACTTCATCCTCGGTTGGTTTACAGCGTGTATCGGATCCTCCTGGTGGGTTAGGGCAATGGTTGGATCATGATCTTATAGGGGTATCTTACCCTCGGCGCACTCTAGCCTAACTAAGTTCTAAGCCATTGGCCTCCTTCATTGTACCCGGGGAAAAAAAAAAAAATACTTTGATCATTATAAGGGTAATTAAATATTTAAATATAGAAAAAAAAATATATATTTTTTTTTTGAATTTAATCACTGTTTTTTGGCATGGTAGTTGATGGTCTTTGATTCAAGTGCCACATTTAATTTCAATTCATTGTTTTTCTTTATTTTTAGGTGGTAGTCATTACATGTGTTGCTTTGAGGGTAACCTGCCAATGCATGGCATGCAAGTTACAGCAAAAACGTTTTTGGTTATGCAACACAAATGCCAAAATGCACCTCTTTCGTTTTGCTTGCCTAATATATGTACAATATATTTACATTTTCTTCTCATTCACCCACTTAATCCTATCTAGCTTCTCAGTTAGTTTCATTTTCACAATCATGTTCTCGAAAGAAGATGCTCGCACCACTGTTGGCATTTTAGGTCAGTGTAAATGCATACAACTGTTTTAATTTCACTTGTAATGCAGTTTATATTAATCAAAATAATTTAATATTTGCTCTTGTGATGAACTCATTTTCAGGAAACATCATGGCTCTCATTCTGTTTCTGTCCCCTGTGTAAGAATATTCAAGTGCTGGTTAATTAACTATATATTATCTCTAATATTTAATTTAAGTATTTGTTTTAGTGTTTTTATTTATTCATTTTTTTTTTTATTTTTTTTATTTTTTAACATAAGATCGTATATGATTTATATAAAAATTTAACTAGTTCACCTTAGACAATAAATACCTAGAAAAATTTTCAATTTTGGTCCATTTACTTATCTTAAATCTCTTTTTGATACATTAATTTTTCTCCTTATATATCAAAAATAGTATGTTATGTTGCAGTTTGTATCATTTTTTGGACAATTTGTATTATTTTTAGGATATTAGTCCCAAAAGATAACGTACCATTATTGGAATTAATGTCCCAATAATAATACAAAGTTAGTATATAAAAGAGGACTTTGAACCAAAATTGAATTTTCGTCTAACTACCAATACTGGTATATCAACTTTTGGGCTTGGCTAAATTAGTCCACAATCAACGTCTTATAATGTTGGTACAAATTAAGTCCACAATTGTTATTCGTAAAATAAGAAATTAATTTTTCATTATACTATATATTAAGATGGAGGTAAATAAATAAATGGATTAATAAATAGGCCGACATTCACGGAGATATGGAAGAAAAGATCAGTGGAGCAGTATTCGGCGGTACCGTACCTGGCCACGTTCGCAAATTGCGGGCTTTGGGTACTATACGGACTGCCTATGGTACACCCCCACAGCATGCTAGTGGTGACCGTCAACGGCGCCGGATTCCTCATCGAGATTGTCTACATCTCCCTCTTCCTCGCCTTTTGCCGCCCGGAGAAGCGGCTGAGGGTGGCGGCGGCCGTGGCGGCCGAGTGCGTGTTCCTGGCGGCGTTGGCCCTCCTCGTCTTCACACTCGCCCACTCCACCAAACTCCGGTCCGAAATTGTCGGCACCTTTTGTATGGTCGGCAGCATCGTTATGTACGCCTCGCCGCTTTCTGTAATGGTGCGTTTTATCCATAATTAATGAATTAATTAATTACCAAGCACACACAACTAATTCTAATTGTTGTATTAAATTAAATGTTGATTATTAAATTGAGTTAATTTAATATCTGAACCATTACATTACATTTAATTGAGTAATACACATTACATTTAATTGACTATTAACTTACACTAGGAATTGATTCACTGTATGTGCACATATATTTAAATTTTATAAGTTATATCTATGTATATAATATCTATCATTATATTAAAAGATTAACCATTTAACATTTTTAGCAAGCTTTTTCCGCCAAATACATTTAATGTCTCCTAAAAATAGATTAGCATTAAATGTTGCCCTTAAATCATGACAGTTGTTAATTTAGTTTGGAGAAAAATCATGGCAACTAAAACAAACAACATTAATTACGGTTGATTTAATATTTAAATGGTAAACAAATATTACTTTTTTATGACTGATTTAAATTTACGTCTGTTTAAAAGTAAAAAACTACTTTTGTAATTTCAACAAATTTGTACTCTTTAATGTACGGCTGATTTAAAATTAAGAATTTACTTTTGTATTTTCACAAAAAATCGTATAAAGAAGTATGGCTGGAATAATAATAAAAAATTAATTTGTTAAACCATATTTTGCACTCATAGATACGAATTCTCATCAAATTCAAGATTTAAAATTGTGAAGAATGTATATAGATGTGGACTGATTGAAAATATATGATTCCTTAAATTAAGGAATTTTTTCC